AAAAAAAAGAAAAAAAAAAAAGAAAAAAACTGGGAGAAAAAACACTGTCAGAGAATGGAAAGGGGAGACTCAGACTCTATCCATGTATAAATGCAACTTGAATGTTCTCACTTCCACTGAGAGAAGTATCATTGAAGTTACACCAAAGGAGTTAAAACACAAAAGAAACTCATTCTCCAAAAGCAAAAAATAATTTGTGTATCAGTACATAAGATGAAATCAATAAAAAATATCATGAGACATTTCATTAGCATATCTAAGTAATTACATCCTTCTCCAAACAGTTTTCCCTGCTGCACCTATGATGAGGGCTAGTGTATTTTCAAATGGCAACATGTTTATAATATGTTCTGGATTTCAATGTATGGGGATGATTGGAAAGAGGTTAGGGAGAGAGATTAACCTGGCCCAAGCATGGTTCGTGGCTATCAGAATCATAGAAAGCAAAGGCCTCCCTCTATTCAGTGATGTCCTAAATGGACCCCAGATAGATCAGTGTTACTGTCAGAACCAATTAAATAATTATACCAGCGGCTGCTCCTCTCTCTCGATTCCTGTCCACCTTTCCAGCCAGCTTCTTCTGCCACTTCAGCTTTACTTTTCTGCTCTATATTTTTAACCCTTCAGCTCCCTCAGAAAACCAGCTCATTGGATGGGGAAGAATGGGCATGGATTTAACCCAAGTAGAAGAACACCTCTCACTTCACCCTACTAGACAAGCCAAAAGCTTCCCCCCACCCCATCTCTTGATCCCAGTACCTGGAAGAAGCCAATGATGACCAAAGGTCTGGATTTCACAAACTCTGCCACCTGCTGGGTGTTGTTGAACAAAAATGCTTTCTTGCTAATTTGTCTTCTCAACCACACCACCAAGGCAGCAGATTCAACCACATCTAGAAAGACATGCACACAGAAGTTTCTTCTTGAACCAAGGCAAAGCCCATCTTCCTCTTGTTTAGTGAGTGTAAGTATCTTATCTTGGGCTCCCATCCCCTTGAAGGTCAACTTCAGTTCTTCCACCTGCCCCAAGCCCCAGTACAATATTAAGAACTGCAACTAAACCTTATTGAGCCCTTACCAAAGACCAGGCTCTGTGCTGCGAGTTTTATACATATTCAATTCTCACAACAACTCTATAAAACACATACTCTTATTCTCCCCATTTTACATGCAAGGAAACAGATTCAACTTGCCAAAAGCCATCCAACTGGTAAACCTGAGACTCAACCAGGAGGAAACATTTCCAGCTTTGTTTTCTTATCTACCCTCCAAGATCACAATTAATATTAATATTAGTAAACTCTTGGGAGTTCTTGTGGTGTAGTGCCTAAGGCATTTGACTGCTATCCAGAAGGCTGGCTGTTCAAAACCACCAGCCACTCCTCGGAAGGAAGATTGGGCAATCTACTTCCTTAGAGATACTGCTTCAGAAACCCAAGGAGGAGTCACTATGAGTCAAATCGACTCTACCACAGTGAGTTTTGTTTGTTTGTTTGTTTAGTAAAATCTAAATAAAGAGTCCAGGTAAGCTCTTTGTCCTGAGTACAATCCCATTATCCCTCTGTGCATGCAATGGCTCAGCTGAGACACAAATCTGCTTTAAGATTATGGAATCCCAATTTGCATTTTTCAGGTATCCTATGGGAGGCAGCAGACATACAATTGTCTTAGCTTCTAAAATTGGGGCACATATATCATCTGGAGAGACATAATGGTGTGCTAGAATTTACATAAGGCTACGGATGAATGTGTGTTTCCCCAGATCATCAATCTCACATGATGACAGGTAATGTAAAATATTACTCTATATTAAAGCCTGCTAAAGAATAAAATGGAACATGTTAATGAGCTTATATGATAAAACAGTATGTTTTTATATAGCTATGTTTGTTGTGAGTAGATTTGGACTACATCCACAGACCTTTCTTCATACATTGTCTCATTCATTCCTTCATTCACTCATTCAATTGACAAGTAAGCATGGAGTTCTATTACATTATCAGGTGCTGTGCTCAGTGCTGGGGCTGATGGGAAGAAACAGACACCTTACCACTCTCCCACAACTCTCAATCTGTTCAGGGAAACAATCACCAAGTTAGTACACAAACAAGGGTATGATCACACCCAAGCTAAGCATTCTAAAGTAAATTTCTATGAGCCTGTAGCAAAAATACCCAATCCACACTGTGAGGTCAGGGAGGGCTTCCTGGAGGAGATCACATATGAGTTGAAAACTGAAGGATGTGCAGGAGTTAGCCTGGAGGCAAAAAGGAGAGGGAAGGGCTTCCAGACAGAGAAAACAGCCTGTGCAAAGGCACTGCAGCAGAGTATTCTCCTACCACCCTATTTCAGTTACCCACCATGTCCAACTGGTCTCTGTTTTATGACCTGCTTTAGTGTCTTTACTGAATTTCTCACTTTGTGAAATTATTGTTTTTTGCAAACTTGCTTCATGTGAGCTCATGGTAGCTCCTATAGTGCCTAGCTAATACTAGGCGCCCCAGAAGCAATTACAGGATGAATGACTGAGGGGAATGAATGATTAGCTCATCTTGCCCTGAGGGAACTTGATTTGGAACCATCTTCTCTGGGATGGATGAATTTGTTTGGCCCCTCTGAAGCTCACAGGACTGAGGGAGCTCTGAAGTTGGCAAATACTTTGTTTCTGAGTGCTTGCCCTTGCTGGGCATGGGGCCTCCCCTGGCACCTGGCTCTGAGCCAGAGGACAGGGTGACAACTGAGGCGTGAACACTGTGTCAATAATTAACTGGGGCCAGCGCTTGGCTGCCTATTTGCAGGCACAGGCTGTGAATGCATCATTAATAGAGGCCCCAGAGGCAACCCAGTCTCCCTCCCTCCAGGGAGGCAGCCAAAGCCAAGTCTCCCACATTAGTCGTTGGAGATTAGAGGAGAACGGGCTGGGCTTTGACCTGGCAAGGACTAAGTGCCCGCTTCTCCCGAGGAAACTTTCAGTTCAAGTGACATTGCAAGAGTCATGTCAAGTACATCTCCCTTCTTCGCTCAAAGCAGCCCTGCCCAGGAGGCAGAGCTATTGGCATTATTCATCCTGCTTAGAGAATGAGAAACTGGAACGTTGAGTCTAAAAGCCTTGCTCCAGTTCCCACAGCGAGTGCAAGCAAATGTTTGTCCCAAACCCCAGGCATCCTAGGTCCTAGGCCAGGCTCCAGCCTGGCGTCCCATTGCCTCTTTCCCTAGCTGAGTAATACTGAAGAAGAAGGGGGACAGATAGGCAGTCCCACTGATACACAGCCTGGACTGTTGCTCCCATGATTTCCTGCAGCCTATCCTTGCAATTCCATTCCATTCAAACTCAGTAACTATTAAGTACCTACAATGTCCCAGGCACTGGACTAGGATTAGAAAACAATTAAAAAAAAGTTATCATGGAGATGCCTTTAATTGATGGCAATCCTGTGTGTGTCAGAATAGAACTATGCTCCATGGGGTTTTTAATGGTTGATTTTTCAGAAACAGATCACTAGGCATTTTTTCAAAAGCACCCCTGGGTGAACTCAGACCTCCAACTTATCAGTTAGAAGATGAGCACCATCCAGGGACTCCAGGCGCTGGACTAGGATTAAGCAAATATAATAGTTTAATAATAATGATGACCACAGCTGCCATTTACTTACAGTATAGAACAGTGCAGGGCAGGGGTAGCCAACTCTAGCTGGTGGGCCAAATCTGGCCGTCCAACAACTTGATTTTATAAAGTTTTATTGGATCAAAGCCAGGCCTACTCATTTACATATAGCTGCGGCTGATCCAAGGGAGACAGATGGGCAGTCTGCTCCTATAAAGATTTACAGCCTTGGCAACCCTGTGGGGGCAGTTCTACTCTATCCTATAGGATCACTATGAGTTACAGTCAACTTGACAGCTGTTGCTGTTGTATGAAAGCCCTATCCCCTTGCTGTCAAGTTATGACTGACCGGCTGGTCTATAAAGCCTAAAATATTCATTATCTTCCCCTTCTACAGAAAACATTTGCCAAGCTTACTGCTTACTAGTCAGAAGGCCTTGAGCAAGTTATTCTGCCTCTCTGTGACTCAATTTCCCCATATGTTAAACAGGGATGGAAAGTAGCACCTCCCCTCCCACGTGGGTTGTTGTAACATGTGAAAAGGGCCTAGAACAATGCCCAGAACATAGGTATGTGCATGTGTTTGTCAGGTCCTGTGCTCTGCAAACATTTTTCTATCTTTCCAGTAATCCTAGGGTGGAAATACTTTCATCATCCCCATTTTACAGATGAGGAATTCAAGGTGCAAAAAGAAATCATTTTTCCTCAGGCATATTGTGAGAGTTTGACTTTGGGGTGGTATCCACCAGTTTTGTTAGCCTTTTTGAAGTGAAAAACACAAACCCATTGCCTTTGAGTCAATTCCAACTTAAGTGACCCTATAGGACAGAGTAGAACAGCTCCATAGGGTTTCCAAGGCTCTAGATCTTTACAGAAGCAGACTGCCTCATCTTTCTCCCATGGTGTGGCTGATGGGTTCGAACTACCATCCTTTTGATTAACAGGCAAGAGCTTAACTACTTTACCACCAGGGCTCTTTAGTATTTTCAGAGGACCCAGAAATGGCCATAAGGTCCCTGCCCGCGTGGTGGCCTCATTCCACGGAGCAGAAAAATGAACAATACATGCAATTCTGCAAGATGAGGACCTTTATGGGGGAAACACAGTTGCTACAGGATCAGAGAGAAGGGGCAATGAGAGGAGACTTCCTGGAGGAGGTGAGGATGAAGCTTCTTGCATGGCAGAGGAAATCTCAGGTATTGGTTCCCACCACAAAGGGAGTTCAGAGACCAAAGGCCTAGCAGAGCTGCTTTTTTTTTTTTTTTTTTTTAAGTTTTATTGTGATTTTGGTGAAAGTTTACATAGCAAATTCATCTTCCATACATTAATTCACATACACTCTGTCTCAGGACATTGAATGCAATCTCCCACAATGCAACAGCTCCCCTCCCACTTCCTCCCCATAGTTACACCTCTTCCCTGTGTCCTTCCCTCCCATGCACTCCTGCTCCCTGAGCTGTCGCCCTGTGCGTACACAGCCTGTCTATTCTCCCATAATTAATCTCTCCAAGGAGTGTTTATCTCCCTAATGTAAATGTTCCGCTCTTATGCCTGTCCTTTCTTTGGCTGGAAGCCACTGGAGTGGGTTCAATTCCAGACCTGAAGGGCAGCTAGGGGCCATAGTCTCAGTGGTTCCATCAGGCTCTATCAGACCAGCAAATCTGGTCTTTTTTTTTTTTCCAATGATTTTGAGTTTTGTTCCACATTGTTCTCCATCTCTATCCAGGATCTCCTACATAGATCCCCCTCCAAGTGGTTGACAGTGGTAGCCGGGCACCATCTTGTTCTT